ACCCAAAATGCTCAAAGTTTTACTAAGAAAATTGTAAAAGCGGCTAACCCTAAAAAGATGAAGACCCCTGGGCAAAAGGTTAAGTTTTTCTTTTATACTTGGTCCAAATAATCCAGCCCAAACACGCACAAAACGAAACTGTGCGTTTAACAAAACTGGAAAAATTGACTGTCGTCGCGGTGAAGAAGAATGCTTCGCCGCGGAGAAGAATGAAGCAGACACGTTCGTCCCTGGCTTACTTTGTCGCGGCGAAGACAATTACTTCGCCGGGGCGAAGCTTCTTGAAAAGTTCTGAAATTACAGAACTGCCACTCAGCTTGCTTCTTCGTTTAATTCTTCGATTCTCGGTGCTCTCCCTTGGGAACAAGCTTCATCGTGCTTTATCCTGCTCCGGAACTCTCCTATCTTCTGAGATCCGCTAATTTCTGAGTCAAAAATATCCAATTTTGTCCTTATTTGCTCAAAATGTCCATTTTAACCTGAAACACGAAAAGTAAAGAATTAAGCAACAATTCAGGTCAAAATGCACTAGAAAGTACCTGAAATCCGACAAAAAGGTCTAATGAAAACTGTATAATCCACGGATTATCAGTGTGAAGTCGGCAATGAAGTCTGCTAGTGCTTGGGACTTGATGGCGGTGCGAGATTGGTAGGCTATGTCGAACTCACTGAGCTCTATTGTCCGTTGCATGAGTCGGCCTGATAGTTCTGGTTTGTGCAGTATCTTCTTGAGTGGGAAGGAGGTGATTACAACAATGGAGTGACACTGAAAGTAAGGCCTGAGCTTCCTGGATGCATGGATGAGGGCGAGGGCCAGTTTCTCCAGTTGACTATACCGAGTTTCTGCGTCGAGGAGCGACTTGCTCACATAGTAGACCGATAACTGCTTTGATTCTTCTTCCCGAACTAGCACTGCTGAGATGGTTGTCTTTGAGACCGCTAGGTAAGAGTAGAGCTTCTCCCCATCCACAAGTTTGGAAAGAAGCGGGGGTGTGGTCAAATACCTCTTTAGTTGTTGTAAGGCTTCTTCGTAGGAGGGGTTCCAATCGAACTTCTTGGACTTCTTAATGGCATGGAAGAATAGGTGGCACTTATCAGCTGATCTGGAGATGAAGCGGCTCAGGGTGGCCATTCGTCCTGTAAGGCGCTGGACATCTTTGATGCAAGTCGGGGATGGTATGTTGAGAATCGCTCTGATCTGGTCGGGGTTCGCTTCTATCCCTCTCTGAGTAACCATATAGCCCAAGAATTTACCTGATGAGACGCCGAATGAGCACTTGGTTGGATTCAGCTTCATGTTGTACTTCCGGAGGACGACGAATGCCTGGCTAAGGTGGTGTTGTTCGGCAATCAGGGACTTGACGAGCATGTCATCGATGTAAACCTCCATAGTGTCTCCTAAGTAGTTGGAGAACATCTTGTTGACTAGCTGTTGGTAGGTGGCCCTGGCGTTCTTCAGTCCGAATGGCATTACTTTGTAGCCGTAAGTTCCCCTCTCTGTGATAAAGGCTGTCTTCTCTTGGTCGTTCGGATGCATCAGGATCTGGTTATATCCTGAGAAGGCGTCCATGAAACTAAGGAGTTCGTGCCCTACGGTCGCATCTACCATCGTGTCGATATGTGGGAGTGGGAAAGGATCCTTGGAGTCGGCTTTGTTCAAGTCAGTGAAGTCGATGCAAACTCTCCATAGAGATGGCAATGGGCCCGACATTTTCGGGTATCCGGCCCGGCCCGGCCTAAAAGGGGCGGGCTTTACCCGAGGTTGGCGGGCTTAGGCTTGGGTCTGGGCTTGATTTTAAGGCCCGACCTCGGGTACGGGCCGGGCATGGGTATATCTTTAGGCCCGACCCGAAAATTTTAATATTAATTTTACTAATTTACCCTTATACTATATATTTAATTACAATATTATCCTATATATATCTATTTTTCCCAAACCCTGACCTCAATTTTTATCCCATATTGAAGGTTTAACATGTTAAAATTACATTTAAATGAGTTAGATGGGTTTGGTTCAACTTATAAAAGTGGATTTCACCATAACATATTATGCACAGCTGAAAAGTTAGTATAATCAAATATTATGGAGTTTTAATTGCTCAATTATTGCTTAAATTATTTGCGGAAATAGCTTCAATTAATATTTAAAAACTATTTCTAAAATTAAAAATAAAAAAAATTGAAATTTATTAATATTTAAAAATAAACATTACTAAAAAAGGCGGGCTTGGGCCGTGCCTATGGTTATAAAAAACCCGTCGGGTCGGGCTTGGGCTTTGCCTATCATACCCGTAGCGGGCTCGGGCCGAGCTTGGGCCTGTGTCATGAGGTCGGGCTTGGGCCTGGGCTAAGGGGTACCCGGCCCGGCCCTGCCCATTGCCATCACTAACTCTCCACTTCCCGTTCTTTTTCTTTACGACCACGACGTTTGCTAGCCATTCGGGGTAGTGGACCTCTCTGATCATGCCGTTGCTTATGAGCTTTTCAATCCCTTCATTGACGATCTGGTTTTGCTCAGGTGCGAATTTCCTCCTCTTCTGCTTCACTGGTGGGTGATCCGGATCTGCCCTAAGCTGGTGGACCATTGCGTCTGAACTGATTCCGATCATGTCGACGTGGGACCAGGCAAAGCAGTCTTCGTTCTGTTTGAGAAATTCTATTAACTTTTCTCTTGTCTCGAGTTCGAGGCGGGAACCTATATGTGTCTTTCTCTCTGGGTCATCCAGATGTATCTGCACTTTATCCAACTCCTCAATAGTTAGTTGGTCAGGCTCGGTCCGAGGGGTTGGATGAGACTCTAATTGCTATGAAGAGTTTCCTTTGCTCTTGAAGGCGTTCTTGTAGCAGTCTCTGGAAACTTTGGGGTCGCCCTTGATCTCTCGTACCCCCCACTTAGTTGGAAACCTGATCGTCTGGTGGAAGGTAGATGGGACTGCTCGCATGTCATGGATCCAGGGTCGACCCAAAATAACGTTGTAGGGAGATAGGCAGTCGATCACCAAGAAGACTGTAACGCCCCACTTGAGGTACATAGTTAAGTTATGGTATATTGCTTAAATGTTTATTGTTTTGTTTTTATTTGGGTCGATATATTGTTTATATTGGTTGGTTGGCCCTTAGTTGAATTTTTGTTAAAGTTATTTTGCGAAAAATGTAGAGAAAATCCCTTAAACTTTCATTAGGGTAAAATGGTCTTTTCACTCAAAATTAGTTGAACTTGTGGGGAGTGAAAAGAGATAGAATTTAATAGAGAATGCATTAAAAATGAGGGCATTATTGTAATTGACTAAGGGACATAGATGGAATTTCTAAGAAAGAGCAAGGGCAAAATGGGAAAGTGTGGTTATAAATTAAAGTGTTAAGGGTTTGAAACCCTCATTTTCGTTCATTCCACCCCCCACACTCCTCCTCCTTTTTTCTCTCAAGTTTTCATTCACTTTTCCAAGGAATTTGAGGGCTTTTGAGTAGATTTTCATAGGGTTTTGATTCAAGGCATCAAAAGGTAAGGAATCAAGCTCTTTATCTATGATTTATTTGTGTAAAGTTTGAGTTCTTATGAAGTTTATGCTTAGGGTTAAGAGAAGATTGGAATCCAACAAGAATAGAGAGCTTAGGAGAGACTACTCAAGCACAAGGTAAGTAAATTCCACTCAAAATCCAACTCAAGCTAAAATTTAAGAATTCAAGTGAGTTGAGATTTCTTCTAAATATGCATATGTTTTGATTATTGAGAAATTGAGATGAGATTGATGATGAATTATGCTTGTTGTTGGATATATTTGAATATGAGAAGTATATGTGATGATTTGATGATGGGTTGAAATTGGAAGAATTGGAGAAATTTTTGTGGAGTGTGTTTGCCATGTAGGTATGTGATGCTACAAGAGAGTTTTTCTCTCATTTTGGATGGTTTGAGAACTAAATAGAATGATAATTGAATTAGGGTTTGTTTATGCACAATTAATGTTTGATGAAATGCCTAAGTGAAAACATGTTACCAAACTGCCCTGTCACAGCCGTGACTTTCTGAGTGATTTTTGGGCATGTTACGGATTGAACTGGGTTTAGACCAAAACATAAAAGTTGTAGTCCTGTCTCTAAGCTTTAAGACGAGACCAAAACCGTAGCAATCCGAGGTGTATAACTCAAGTTATGCCTTCTTGAGTGTGACCTGCGCAGAATGACAGTTTTGATGCAATATTGCATTTGTGCATTTCAAAAGTGCATTAAGTAAGAAACTTTAAGCATGAACCATCCTTATGCATTAATTGTGCATTGAGAAGTAGTTTGAGAAAGAGTAGAGAACTTTGTGAATGGGCTACTCTAAAAGTAAAGAGAATGAGAAAATCTAAGAATGGGTTGGTGCTTTGTGAACTCCAACCGGAAGTCACGAAGAGTGGGTTGGTGCTTTGTGAACTCCAACCGGAAGTCACGAAGAGTGGGTTGGTGCTTTGTGAACTCCACCCGGCCGTGCCTCCGGTAAGATGAGGCCGTGACATTCCAGTGAGAAAGAATGAGAAAATATAAGAAAGAATAGAGGAAGAGAAAGAGTAGAAGTCACGAAGAGTGGGTGGGTGCTTTGTGATCTCCACTCAGCCGTGCCTCCGGTAAGATGAGGCCGTGACATACAACAGAAAGTTAATAGAAAAGAGCTATGTGAAAGAGAAACAGAAAGAGAAAATAAATGAGATGAGAAGAGTGTAAGGAAAGAATTAAGAGAAAGAGTTACGGGGATAGACGAGTAGAGGATTTACTTACTGAGCATTATTTTGTGCTCACCCCGTTGTTTTTCTTTGTGTTTGCAGGATCTAGGTGAGGACGCGGTCGGATGGGCATCGGCAAGCGAGGAGTAATAGCTACACTGTCCACTGTTTTTGATAACCTTTACTTATGATGCCTTACTTTGTATAAAGAATGATTAAATGTATTAAAAAAAAATTGTGGGCCCATTTACTTTTGCTAATATAAATATATTTACGTGATGTATTTCTATACGTATCCTAGTATGAAGCAGTTATTACAAAGACGGTCTGTTTGTTTATTTTGCCAGCGTAGATGGGGAGGACGACCTCTCTGACAGAGTATTTCTGCTCCGAGCTGAACCTAACCAGCAGTGTCAGTCGCCTGTTGATGTTTGCTTCTTCTAGTCCCATTGCCTTGACTGCTTCAAGGAACAGGATGTTTGCTGACGAACCCCTATCTACGAACACCCTTTTCACTAGGATGTTGGCAATCTGCAGGGAGACGACTAAAGCATCGTGATGAGGAGTAGCCAGTGTGACCGGTTCGTCATCTTCAAACTGAATTACCTGATGAGAGTGTGACCGCAGGACTGGATGGATGGACTGGACTTCATGGTGGTGGTTGGCTCTAGCATACCGCTTGGCCGATGAGTAACTTACCCCGCTGATCTCTGATCCTCCGGAGATGAGCGAGCAGAAACATTTTCGTGTGGGTTTCCACGGAGGGGGTGACGGTTCTTTGGAGCTTTTCTGGCTAATGATGTTCTTCCCCTTGTTAGTAAATAGATCATGGAGATGTCGCCTTTTCAGAAGTACGGCAACCTCAAGTCGTAAGGCAATACAGTCTGCGGTGTTGTGCCTATGGTCGTTGTGGAACTCCCACCACTTGGTTGTGTCTCTCCTTACTTCGGGATGGAGCTTGCCAAGCCACTTGACGGTGGATCCCAATCCTTTCATTATTGCTACGACCTGGGTTGGTTTGACGTTGAGGTTGTACTCCGGTATTTTGTGTCGGTTCGATCTGAACTGCCTGTTATCATTTCTCGAGGGTTGGCGATCATAAGGCTTCCTGACTTTGCCTATATTGCGTGTTGGAGGTTGGTAACGGTGCTCTACCGGTCCAGGCTCTGGCTTCCTGTCGCTCTACCTTGATTCATATTTGGAGTGAATCGTTCGGTTTATCTCATCCTCCTCCTCCTACCTTATTTGGATCACTGCCCGGGCCAGGGCGTCTTCCATTGTTGTGCATCCCAGCTTTGTAAGTTCTTTGTATAGCTATCCATCCAGGAGGAGACCCTTCTTGAAGGCATCTATGGCTGTCTCAGGGTTGCATGCTGGGATGGAAATCTTCTCTTTGTTAAACCTGCTGACATATTCTATCAATGGCTCACCCCTTCTCTGGTATACTCTGTACAAGTCGACTGACAGCTTCTCGAGTTTCTTGCTGCTGGCGAACTATTCCACAAACGTGTTAGTGAGTTGAGCGAACGAATCGATGGATCCATTCGGGAGGTTCGAACCGAAACTTTTGCACATGCATGCTTCCCTAAGTGGTCGGGGTATCGAGATGGTGAACATCCGCTGCTTGTACGAGGCTATGTGATCGTCCGGATTGGTTGTGCCATCGTACATTTTTATGTTGGGGATAGTGAGCTTCTGAGGCAAGTCGGCTAGGGCGATCTCGTCCACGAAGGGTGAATCCACGTAATGTTAGTAAACGGTCCCGTATACACAGCAGAAACAAAAATATAATATAACAGGATCGTTTACATGAGCCAAGATCAAGGGTATGATTTTAACAATTTATATTAAATAAAATCTGCATAAATATTCAACATGAGTTAAGAGAAACATGAGCCAAGATCAAGGGTATGATTTTAACAATTTATATTAAATAAAATCTGCATAAATATTCAACATGAGTTAAGAGAAACAAACGCACGTTGAAGGCTCCTCCAAATTTGTCGTCGAACGTTTTGCTACCGATCAAAGTGTAGGATCGAACCTGCGTAGTCCACACGAAGACAATCTCAAAAGAACCAAAGAGGGATTTGCTAGATCCTCTTTGGCTTCAAGATTAAGAAGAAAACAAAAATCAATTGAATTGATTTTTAGGCTCTTGGTGTTACTGCCGTGGGAGAGGCAAAATTTGGGCTGCTGTGTTTTTGTTTTTCAAAAAAGAAAAAACCCTTAATTAAAAAATCACACACTTTTCCTTTTATATTTAAAAACAATTTGCCCTAATCCCATACGGAATAGGCTTGGGCTCCAACCCAAACGCCCCATGTTGCCAAACACTCCCAATTTGATTTATTTTAATTTCCATCATTATCTCAATTAAAATCAATTAATATATATATTTAAATATATATTAACATTTAACAATAATGATAATATATTTAAATATGTGCGAACACACATTTAAACGTAATTTCACTTATTTAATTTTTCTAACAAATTAAATAAAGGCTACGACCTCAGCAAATTTAATTGCACTGTGAAATTACCAAAATACCCTTTCGCCTTAAAAGACGAAAACGCCCTTCTTTCTTCTTGCATCTTAAATTGTCTTCTATGTGTGTGACCCTTAGGCTCCTCATCATATCGGCAGTGTATAGTATTGCGATTAACACCAATTAATCGTCTCACTAATACACAGACCAAGATTGGCCCCTAGCAAGGCATCATGGCCACCCGATAGATTCGGATTCAGCAAAGTAGCTACCTGTCAACGATATGGTTACCGTGCAATTCGATCCTTTCATCATACGTTATCTCGACGAGACGAAGGCATAGAAATAGTGTCAACCTTCGGTTACTCTCGATATTATTTATTCAGTTTCTGGACCAATGACCCGTATTATAAACTGGATAGAGCAACAACTCAATCCCACTGTGGCCACAGTTTTAGTGTCATTGCCATATACTGAATTGCGCCGTGAGATAACTTTCTCCCGTACCCGGGAGTGATGAATCCTCTGTCAATCCACCATAGTCTTGATACACTCCTTGATGCAGCCAATCACCACCGTATTGACAGCTCTGAAAAGAACTGCGTTAGGCTAGTGTCAAACTACACCAATCGGTGCACAAGGCGCTCCGGTGATCTCAAGTCTAAGGATCACATGCACCACCATTCGTTAGAGGATTTGTTCCATAGACACTGGGGTTACCATCCATATGGAATCCTCTGGTGGGTCAGTCCAGTGAACTTGCTGTGGTGTAATCGCCTACAACAAGCACCCATGTGTTGCACCAGGTTGTCACCAAACAACCTTGACAAGTGAGATCAGTCACTGCCTTTCGACAGGGTCGTTCAACACTATGATAGCCTTACCGTATTATCTGTGCCCTTACTTCAGAATAATACTGGGGCTACGGACGTTTCTAGAATGGCCACCACATGTGCTCATAGGGTTCTCACTATCAAGATTTGAAACACTTGATACCCTCGTCACGGCTCTACCATTCTAAGGACATATATCAATACATATTGCAATAATAATGATTTACGCGATATATAATAAAATGCCTTTTATTGATTAATGAACATTATTACAAAGAGTCAATTCTACAATAATTGATTGGCTCTAGGGCATCTACTCTAACATGTAACAATGGGGCCTGCTCTTCTTGGTTGGGACCGGCATTCCTGGAATGCGTCGCATCATTGCTTCCACATCGGCCAATCTCTTGGCTAGTACCTGTTCCATAGGAAAAGGGAACGCCACTAGGTCATCCCGCATGACCGGATCGACCTTTGCATTTATCTTTGGTATATTCCGTTGGGTCATCCCTCTTGGGGTAGTCTGACGAGTCCCTTCGTGCATTCCTTGGTAGCATAGATTTTCAGTCATTCCTTCTGGTTTGATGACTCCCATGGTAACTGTTCTGGTGTTTCGCCCTACATGAATGGTCAGGGGAGTCCTCTGATAGTCATTTGGTTGGTCAGGATGGATGGGCTCGGGTGCTGTTAGTTTAGTTTGGCCGTTCATCCCACGAGGATGAGCCGAGCCGAGTGGAGTATGTGTTGGGATGGTTAGATTAAGCTGGTCTTGTTGATGAGGGCTCTCTGCCACTGGATCGTCTTGGTCTTGATGTTAGGATGAATCTGCTAATTGGTGTTCTACAGGCATATCTTTATCTCCATGAATTAGGACAGAATCGTCGACCGCAGACGGGTTTAAGGGATACGGCCTTTTGCCAGAGGTTGAGGGTTGGGGCTCCGGCATAAGGAAAGGTTGCATGGGCGGAACAGGGGTGTGGAACCGATTGAGGGGTGCTTGGCCAGGAAGGAACTTTAGGTCATAGAATTGACTCACCTGCTCCTTGAGGGATTGGTTTTCTGACCTGACGGACGTGTTTTCCATCTGGATTACATGGTTCTCAGCTTCCAATGCAGCCACCTTGTCCAAGTTCTGTTGCATGAGAGCGGTTAGAGTTTCCAGTTTGGCCTCGAGGCCGAGATTAGCGTTATCGGAGTTGTCAACCATGGAATGTTCCTCCACGTAGCAAGGTTCATCGAGCCGAATGATTGCTAGAGGCCCCACGGTGGGCGCCAAACTGTAGACGTAAAAATCTACTTGTACAGAAGGGGGGTTTGATCCCGTGAGGTTGAGGCCACTAGCGATCTGCTGCACCTGCACACGTAGAGAAACAAGCGCGTGAAGTGAACGGGAAACACCGGGGTGGTGTTTGCCGTAGGCACTCCGACGCTCAAGTCAGCAAGGCTGAAAGAGGTTAGTATAGTGAGGGCTAGGGATTAGAGAGGTTACCGGAAGTCTAGTCAAAGACTGTGACTACGGCGGTGATGTAAAGCTCTCAAGTAGGAGCTTCGGGTGTGAAGGTGTAATGTAATGTGTTTTGTGAGAGGGTTGGCCTCTACTTATATAGTGACTGTCTAGTCTCCCAATCCTGGTAGAAGTAGGAGTCCTAGTATGACTCTGATGCAAACCCTAGACGAATTAGGGCCGTGGTAAGCTGTCTTACCAGTGTCCGAATAGGAAGGTGATTCTGATTAGGAGAGTAACTTTGAGCAGGAAAGTGATCAGGAATAGGAAGGTGACCTTGAATGGGAGATTGATCAGGTGTAGGAAAGTATTCTGACGGGGCCGTGGGCTCTGGATTCGCCCATGGACCTAGGAAATGGACTGGGATTAGGAGGCTCGTGCCCACGTGGTTTGGACCGGCTATATCTTGTACCGTATGGGCCTAATCCGGTTGGGTCATATCGGGATTGGTCCTAGCTTCTTCTTCAGTGTCGGGCCCGTTTTCCTATTTGGGCCAAGGACGATTTTTGGCCCTAACAGAGTTCTCACTGTATGTTGACTCGAATTGTTTTGTGCTGGGGATTGTTTATTTTGGTGCATGAATATACTAACCTGGCTCTGTGGTTGCACCGAGGCAGTCCTTAGTTCCTATAGTGTATTGTAATAAGAGTTCCCTTAAGATTTTTGTTGTTCATTGATTTTAGGTATTAGCAATTTGAAGCTTGGATGATACTCCTTTGAGTAATAGATATGAAATATTTATATAGCATTAAGAGCAAGGACTTCTTTGTGTTGCTAGTTTTGATTTTTGGCACATTATTACTAATAAGCATTTATAGCTAAATAATTTATTACCTATAATTTACTTCATTTTTTCCTTGTTAAATCATCATTTGCTTCATTTAGAAAGTTCTAAAAAAATCAATACCCCCTTTAGAACCTAAGCATTAATGCAAGCCGCCGATTTCCAAGTTGCCTCAAAATCTGGCAGATCTTTCCATTGGATCAGGACCTTTTAAGATCCATCAAGTAGAGTGCGAACTGCTAAAGCTGCTACTGGTTGGACAAGCAGTTCCAAATCTTCAGTGAGAAAATGAGGTAGAGGCTGAATTGGAACTGAAGTATGAATGCTGGGCTTGAGTTGTGAAACATGAAACACTGGATGCATCTGAGTATTAGGGGATAAAT